CACATAAAGCAATTATTTCAAATCATTAACGGCTCTCAAGGCTAGACTAATCCCTTCCTATGTCCTCTCAGAAGGTTAAAGACCATTTTACCCCTCAATGGTCCCAAAAGTCCAATTGTTGACCAAACCCTAAAAGTCAACAAAAGTCAACTCTCCGGGTTACGCTGCGCGTACCAAGCCTGTACGCTGGGCGAACCCGGCGACCTCACAGAAACGGGGAACGCGACCCCCTACGCCGCATTTACTGGGATTACGCCCAGCGTAACTCCCAGTTTCAGACTCCTTAGCTCTTGAGGTCTTAAACAGTTAAGACCCACGTCCAACTTTTAGATCTGACCATTTCTAAGCCTCTTAATCCATAAAGTTGGTGACTTTAAGCCTTTGCATGGCTGGACAAATCACTAACACCCATAACATTCCATTACCCAATTCTAGAAAGCTCATAATACAAGCATGACCTCATATCAACGACCAAGATGGAAACTTTATGGATCTATAACACAAATATCACTGAAATGGGACAGATCTAGGTCCATGGAGTCCTTTATGCTCATAAAGTCTCCACCTTTGGGACTTTAACCCTAGAAATGGTCCATAAAGCACAAACCAAAAATAACAAGGAAAGCTTTGAGCTTTATACCTCCAAGTGAAGCTCCTCCCTCTGTAGAACTCAGATCCAAGCTTGTACTCCAACTTCTAGCCTCCACAAGAACCTCCTCTTCTTCTTTACTAACACACAAAGGCACTTTCTTACTCAAGAACACACACACACTAGCTTTAGAACGATAAAGTTGCTCTTCTAGGGTTTCTCTCTGAGGGATGGTGGCTGGGGACAAGACCATCTCATTCCTTTTATAGCCCTCAAGCCACAATTAGGGTTTTGCACCTGGGCCAACTACGCCCAGCGTAACCCTGGGTACGCCCAGCGTACCTAGGCGAGTCCGCGTCCAAAATAAGCGCATGAGTACGCGCAGCGTACTCTTGAGTACGCCCAGCGTACTCATTTGCTACAATTTCCACTCAAGGGCTACTCTTGACAACTTGACAAAAGAGAAGGGTTAAATAGTTGTACCTGAATTTCGGGATGTTACACAATAATACCCCTATTCATGATTCACCTGAGATTTTGTCCCCAAGTCCTTCTCCTGATGCACATATATTACGAAGAAGTACCAGAGTTTCTCATCCACCATCTCATTTACATGATTATGTTTGCAATGTTGCAAATTCTCATGACCAATTACATTTTTGCAATCATACTATCACGGATTGGTGCATTCCTTCTGTTCAGTCTCAAGATTTCACTTCTATTGCTTTTAATGCTCAAGTTATTGTTGTTGAGCCTGTATTCTTTCTTGAAGCTAAAGACAATCCTTTTGGGGAAGAAGCTATACAAAAGGAGTTGGAAGCTTTATCAGCTAATGGAACATGGGACATTGTCAAATTACCCAAAGGCAAAAAGCCTATATCTTGTCGATGGGTATACAAAATAAAGTACAAAGTTGAAAGAAGTATTGAAAGATACAAGGCAAGATTGGTTGCAAAGGAGTTTACTCAAAAAGCCAGTGTTGATTATGATGAGACATTTTCCCCAGTTATCAAGTTTGGTACTGTCAAATGCATAGTAGTTGTTGCAGATAAAAGGGGGGGGGTGACCAATTCAACAACTTGATGTAAATAATGCTTTTCTTCACGGTGATCTCCATGAAGAGGTTTACATGAAACTTCCCCCTGGTTGTGATGTTGGTTCTCCTTCACTTGTTTGTAAACTCTGAAAGTCCTTATATGGCTTGAAACAAGCCTTGAGGCAATTGTATGCAAAACTTTCACATTCTCTACAATTGAAGGGTTACCCTCATTCTCTTAATGATCACTCATTGTTCATAAAAAGGTAAAAGGGCATAATCATCATAATTGAAGTATATGTTGATGATATACTCATTACAGAGGATGATGATCAAGAAATATTTCAAATGAAATTGTTCCTAGATGATTGTTTCAAATCAAAGATCTAGGAATCATTAATTTTTTTGCTTGGAATGGAATTCAATCATAATTCCAATGGAATTGTTTTTCATCAACAAAAATACATAAGAGAGTTTAGAAACATCAAAGTAACTTTAGAGAAAACATCAATTTCATGAGTGCAAGCTCAAATTTTGGGAAAAAATCTGTTGTTATGATATTGAAGCTTCAAAATCCCTATATGTTCAAAATCAAGTTAGGAATTCTAGTTATCTATTAATCAAGACTAACTTACAACTCCAATCAAATACATATAGTGTGTTTGATTTTTGGATTTGGAGATTACTCCAAACACTAACTCGAAATTTAGAGAATGAAGAAGATGCATTGTACATTTCCAATGCTCCTTGCTTAACTCTAACATCAATGCTTCAATCTCCACCCAAAAACATTCTCAAATGTTCAAAATCACCCTTGGTTTCTTCTTCCCTTTCTAATTCTTGATTTGGACTAAAATGGGGAATGAAGAAAGATTATTAGCTTTTAATAATTCCTTTAACTTTATATTTTCATACTTTGACCACTAATGAGCATAAGCACCTCGTCTCTCCTATATCTCACAATGTTTTTAACCTTTTGGTCTACAAGATGTTAATTTGTTAAATCTTGATCAAATACTAGGCATTTTCCTAATTTACCAAATTAACCATAGTTTTATATATTTGACTAAATAAATTATTTAATCTTATTAACCTATGAATTTTCTCCTTTCAAGCTGATAAATAAATTATTTTCTTATTATTTCACCATTTTATTTATTTATTTATTTTAATAAAAGTCTTAATTTAGTCTTAAAATGAGGATGTTACACAAGACTTGTTGTGAAAATAACAACTCCGATGTTTCAAAGAAAAATTAATCTTACCGCACAACCAATGACCTCAAAGAATCATTCAGATTGCTTATCTTCATCCGGCTTAATGTGGGTCGTAATGTCCAAATTTGTCTTTTTCAAATTGTGACAACATTGGAAGTTTAAATAATGATTCTCCACGATCCTCCTCAAAAAGTCTATTGGTCTAGCCTGTGACACTTTCCCTGCCAACCAGAAGAGTAGAAGAGTGTGAAATGTCAACTTTGAATCGGGTATCGACATTGTTAGACGATTCGTTTTCCTTGATATACTATGTTATTAAGCATTATCTCCTTTGATATATGATCATGCATTTTTTGTTAACTCGGCGCTAATTGAAATGAAGCTAGGTTGTTGAAAAATATGTTCGTCCATAAAATTTTGAGCCCGAAAAAAGTTTAATTTTAAGTGCTAGAGCAGTCTTGGTATGCGGTTTATAGTATTCACAACAACATATTGTCCGACACCTGTCTTTTGTGTGTGTGTATATATATATATATATATATATATATATATATATATATATATATATATATATATATATATATATATATATATTGGTTTTAATCACAAAATCATTTTCAAAACATTTCAATCCCATGTTTCAATCCTTTTGCTTCTGAATATTTGTAGATTTTTTACATTTAATTTCGACTTGTGCCATGGTATGGATGTGAAAACGATATAGCGTTGGTATTAAGGATGCATATCCTAGAAAGAACTTATTCTTCTGTCACCTCCTCCTTCATCCTCACAACTGAAATACTCAGTATCGAGGACAATGATAGGTATACACTTACAGTTTTCAAGCAACTTCTCTTGTGAATTTAGATTCGAATTAGAAAATAACATCAACAAATCTCAATAACCAATTGATGATTCATCAACCTTGTATGCAAGCTCATCATCACCATTTCACCAACATGTTTATCCTTTTGTGGTGAAACATACTCAAACCACATGTTATTGGTGTTTCGTACAAACATCATGAATCATCAAAAGCATGGAAGTAATTACTTACTTAATTGCTTCCAACACTTGATCTATTTTACCCGAGTGGTTTCTACATACCATTTGATTTATAGGGAAATCATTTCCACAATTGACACGACTATCAACAAGTAATATAGTTATCGTATTTGGTAATAAAGAAAGAACATCTATAAAATATTTGACATCATCGTTGTTAACTGGCTCGATTATATTCTTCATTTCAAAATATTGAAAAGATCAAACGAGTAAGTTTATCTGCTAAACGTATCTTGATTGCCATCAGATTAACCAACCTAGGAATGTTTAAACGCGAAGGGAAACCAATACCATAATTCCTTCTCGAATGAATTCATCTTGAATGAAACAATATGTGTTTGCAGATTTAAACCTATTGAAGATGGAGATTAAATCTACAAAACTCTTCAATATATAATAAGAGAAAAAAGAAATCACCACAAAAAGAAAATTTCAAAACCAGGATTAAGAGAACTGTTTTCTCATTAAACGCGAATATAATGGTAAGATTTGCCTGAAAAGGTGGCTTAGAGTGCAAAAAACCTCACAAGTCAAGCTGTAAACTCTTCAAGTCAGAAAAAATAGCTTCACGAGTTAGGTATTTCACAACCGATTGGTTACAAAATTGGGAGATTTAGCCAAATTGGGAGTTTTAGCCCAAAATGTGGTCAATTTCTTGAAAGTGCTATGAAAAAGTACTATTTTCGTGATTGTCCATGTAATATTATTATATGTAAGCATTCATAAGATAACAAATGACTTATTAGCATCAAAAAACCAAACGTGAAAGCTTGTATGAAACGAGAGGAACATACATTATACTCCGTTTTTAATATTATCACAATTTATTACATAGACAAATGTTTAAAAAAATTCCATAATACGACTGCAAAACATTTAGCAACTATTAACCCAAACTAGGATTTATATATTTATGGCGCCCTTGCAGACTTGATGAAATCTAGATATATTTGCTTTCTGGGTCCAAATATTAAGCATTTCAAACTTAACAATAAGTAAAATTATTTTGATCATAAAAAAAAAAACCTCACTTACAGATTCTCACATTCATGTAAGGATAAGAAAATGTTCGAAATCACATGCATGGAAAAAGTATACTATACACATACACAATGACAATATATGCAAGTAGAATGAAAATGGTATTAATTCTTCCTGATATAATTTAAGTCACATACATTGCATGGGTACAGTTACCCACAAAACATTTTTGAATTGTTGAGCCAAGTTTTTGTTCTGGTGTTGGGATTACAATACAAGTGAGAATCTTTGTTTGTTTAGAGAAGAAGATAGCCTTCTGTTTTTGCATAATATAAAGCTGCTGCAAGTAAAATGAATAGCAGTATGATCCATATGTTAAATCCTGCAAAAAAAAAAAAAAAAAAAACAACTTTAGGAAGTACATCGCATTATGTGTGAATCAAACATCAAATGTGGGAGAGGAGAGATGTACCATTGTTTTTTGTTTCTTTGATTTGTGTGACCCTTGCACTTGAATCAAGAGATGCAGACGCCAGGGCTCTATATTACAAAAAAAACAACAAGAAGTCTTTTTATTTTAAAAAGAAAAAAAAATGGGTATGAAAAGGTCTGAAATCTGAATGAAAGAAAGAAAGGGAACCTTGAATCCTGTGAGAAGGCTAGGGCTGTAACAAGGCCAAGATGTGCTTTCTTCACTACACTCTGCACCCTCAAATTACTAGCATTCAATATAAATATGTCCCCTTGAATCGTACCTCTGCAAAGAATGCATCAATATTTATCATTTGAGATGTTCTATTTAGAAGCAGAAGCAGAAGCAGATTTATACACACATGCTGATAAAATAAGTCTTACATGGCAAGAAATCTCCCATCATCCGACACATTGAAGGCAGAAATCGGGTCTCTCACAACATACTTTGAGCTTATTCGCTTCCATGTTGTTGTATTCCACTTAACAATACTTCCTCCTCGATCTACCCAAGATCAAAAATGTCCAAAGAAATTAGTTCAGTATTTCATTAAAAACATTCATCAATGTTTACATAATTAAAGCAACAAAGAAAGATTAGAAAAATAGCATAAATTCGAGAATGACAAACAGTAGACACACACACCTCGCATTGCAGTGACATACAGAACTTCGTTATTCAAGCTATCATGTGAAAACTTGCAAAACCCAAAAACTTCATCCTGTAAAAGACAAGTAAATGTAGTTAGTGACAAGTAAGCATTTCTAATTTCTTACATTTCTCATAAAATATAGTTAGGAGATATTTCATACATTCTCTTTTGGTAAAGAAGCTTTATTGGTTGATGATGAGGTGTCCCAAACTCTACCAGGGCCACCACTTCCCACAGAGACCAAAAACTTTCCATCAGGGCTGCAAGACAGATTAACACCCAACAAAATCGGTAAATTTGTAGTATAAGAGCATGACATCAGCATGATTAAGCAATTATAACTAGCTATAGAACCTGAAATCCAAATTTTTCACAGAGCCATGAGCATCAGGGATATCAATAGTTGCTTCCATGCTGGGCCACTTGAATGCCCTCAGCTTACCATCCTGTACTGCACCATAACTGGATAGTTAAAAACCATATGATGATTCATATTCAAAAAACAAAAATCTACAATTCAGGGTATGTGAAAGATGAGCCCTACCTCACCACCTACAGCAAGTAAAGAACCATCATGACTAAAAGTAACTGCAAGTTGTTGTCCAATATGTTCCAATTCATAAAGGACTTTCTCAGACTGCTTTAGATTCAATGTAAACTCATCATCTTTCTTGGTTGCTTCCCATTCAAACCATCTACATAGTGTAACTATATGCTATTAACCTCTAACATGATTCCAATTTTATTAAATATGTGGACTAACAATTACGAATCATGTGAAGTGCTTTCAAAATTACCTGCAACTCTTTGGTAATGAACATATAACACCTTCACCACCTGGGTGAACAGCCATTCTATATGGAAGCTCATCATCAAGCCCAAACTTGTTCACCTGTAATAAGGAGTGTCTAGTTCATAAACTTATGCGCTTTGTTACAGGAAAAGTAAAATCATCTTCAAACATTGAAGCTTATGCGTTCATTTAGAGCAATATATTTTTCTACGGATGAACCAACGTGAAACAGACTACTCTCAGATCTTAACTAATCATATCTTAATGAAACAATTAGGCATGACTTCAACTGATCCAATTTAGTTAATTTTTGATTTGTTTGCTCAATCCTCATAAAATGTATCTATGAAAAAATATATATAAGAAAAAATAGGACTCACGGGTTGGTCCGAAAGGGAATTGGAAGAGGAATCAAAGAGGGAGATGACGAGCGCATTAGGGATTCCACTTCGACCTTCGCCACCGCCTCCGGCAAAAACCACATAGTTAGATCCATCACCAACAATCTCGTCTTCGCGCTTGGATTCTGTTTCCGAGGATCTGAGCGCGTTGCGTGGGACGAAGGAAGCACCATAGAAAGGAACACCGTACTTTTTACAATTCGCCCCTATGTCTGCATCATGGCTGCTTTTCCCCATCTCTTAACAAAACTAAAACCTTGATAAACAAATGTACAAAACTAATTTGAGAAGAAATCAAACAATTACCATTAAACTAAAAAAAAGAATCTGATGAACCCTAAATTGAATCATCAATCAATCTGATCAAATACTTACTAGATATTTCAAGAAAAGTCGGAGTTGCACGAGATCGAAGCGAAGCCTTCACGAAAAGATCGATCGTCAACCAAAATCACAATTCGAAGAATGCGGAATCGAATCCAAGAGTGCCGTGAGTCTACGCTTTATTTATACCATGAAAATAGAAAGAGAATCAAAAAGATTACATTAAAGCTTAGCATTTTCGTAAGCTTATCACTTCAGCCCCAATGGTTTCATCAATTCCAATTTTAACCAAATATTTTGCATACCCTATCATTTCATTCCCTAAAGTTTCAACAATTTTGTTTGGAAAATCTTTGATAAAGTCTCAATATTTTGGATTTATTTACGGTTTAATACAAACATTTATTTTTCGAACAGAAAATTCTTAATTATCTAATTTTATACGATAATCTATCATTTTTTATTGAAAAAAAATAATGATTATTTCGTAAATCTAAGCAAAATATAAAATAATCAAGACTTTTCTATCCAAAAAATAAATTTAGAGTAAATTACACGAATGGTCCCTATGGTTTGGTATAATTTGCGCGTTTGGTCCCTAACTTATTTTTTTAACTTGGAAGGTCCCTACTGTTTGTTTTTATTATGCGCTTGGTCCCTATTGTTTGTTTTTGTTACGTGATTGGTCCCTGTCTTACCTAAAAAGACTATTATTTAAATAGAGAAAAATGTTCGGATGGGTAAGATAAGGTGAGAAGGATGGGGTTGGGGTGTGTTTATTTAAATAAGTTAAAAAATTAAGGGCAAAATAGTCTTTTTAGGTATGACAGGGACTAAACGCGTAACAAAAACAAACATTAGAGACCTTCCGAGTTAAAAAAATAAGTTAAGGACCAAATGCGCAAATTACCCTAAACCATAGAGACCATTCGTGTAATTTACTCTAAAAATTATGATTAAACCGTAAACTAACCCAAAATATTATGAGTTTAACGGAGATTTCTCATTTAACAAAAGTTTTTGCATGAGAGTCTTTGTCGTATAGGTTTGAAGCTGAAACGAGTAGGGGTGGCAATCCTCGACCCAACCCGTAACCCGACACTGACCCAACACGAAAATAAACGGGTTTGAGTTGAGATTTTTGACCCGCCAACCCGCTTATTTCATGGGTTGGGTTGGGTTGCCTGTTTGGGTTCGCGGGTCAACCCGCCAACCCGATTATATATATATTAGGTTTAAAAAATATATTTAATTATTTATCACTTTTGAATATTCAAGACTTCTAGTCGACTTAGCGTGTGCGTGCCCTAGCCCCTAATCAGACATCAGACTCCAAATTGGCAAATTCCAAACTCACCGGCACCGCTCACGAATTCGTGTCTCCCATGTCCCGTCTCCGTCGATCACTTGATTGGCATTGACTCATCTACAATCGCAGACAGGGCCGTCGTCTACTCTCGTCCTCCGGTGCTCCTGCGGTCCGACGCTAACCCACCTCCATCCTCGATTCCTCCAGTAAGTGACATTGTGACAGCCTAAATCTCTAAGACTCGAACACAGCAAGTCCAAACCTAAGAACCTGGTGTTCTTCTCTTCTTCTAATGAATAAGAATGATTGACTGATTGAGACAATAATCGGGATTGTTGTGATGTTGTCTTGTTGAATAAACAGTTAACACCAGATGAAATCACTGTAGTTTCTTAGTTTAGAAGCTTATGACCTGTTGATTATTGTCTTCTTCCAATGAATAAGAACGATTGACTGTTTGACCTGTTGCTAGCATAAATCATGTATCTATTATGACTAATTGCTTCAGTTCTGTTTTTTTGTTTGATTATTGTCTTGTTGATAACCATGAGCAGAACCTGTTAACCTGTTACCCACTGTGTTTTTGTGTTTTTTTATTTGCTTTGCTTCTAACCTGTTAGATAATTATTGATTTCTTTTGTGGTTTTCTAGTGAGTTATGGATAATGAAGATATCACTGTTGACAATAATGTGGAGGGTGACAATGAAGAAAGTGAAAGTGATGATTCAGTTAAAGAAGTTGCAGCACCAAATGACTCTCAAGGAGTTGAAAGTACTTCTACAAAAAAAAGGAAAATGAGGACAGCAAGTTCTAATGTTTGGAAAAGTTTTACTAAATTACCTAGAAAAACACCAGATGAAATCCTATATTGTGTTTGCAACAAATGTGGTAAAAAATATCAAGCAGGAAGTGCTTGCGGTACCGGTAATCTAATACGCCATCGAACCAAATGTGAAAATAATAATACTAGAGAAATTGGTCAATATATGATTTCTGCTAGCAAAGGTGTAATGAATATGAGAACTCCAAAGTTTAGTCAGGAAAGACTTAGGGAATTGTTGATTGAAGCTATTGTTAGACATGACTTGCCATTCTCCTTCGTTGAATATGAAGAATTCTAAATGAATATCGAAGTTCCATGAAGCCTGATGTGGTTGAAGCTTTGGTTTGTACTAGGGATTGGTTGTTTGGAGAAAAAGGTAATATTTCATAATTTGTTCATATTAACTAAATTTTTGTATTAATTTTTCTTTTTTTCCTATTCCTTGTGTAGATGATTTGAATGTGGCTGTTGACAACCTAACCCAAAATGTAATGAATTTGAACATCAACGAAGACAATACGGAGGCTACAAATTCCAAACGTACTTTAGGCTGTCATTTGGTGAGTTTTTTAATTTTTTTTATTTATAATTATTTATGTAGCTTTTAAAAGATCATAAATTTACTTTTGCATATTGTTTCTATTTGAAGGTTATCTTGAAGAAGTCGATGTTGGAGGAAGAAATGGAAATTGTAGCATGAACAAACTATCGCATTTGATTTTTGGATATGTTTGAACAATTACACTTTGCATGGATGTGTTGATTTTCAATTTTATAACTTTATGTTTATGACTTTATGTTGAATGTTTAAGACTTTATAACTTCATTTTATTTGTATTTTTCAATTTCATTTTAAAATGTGTTGCTTATTAAATTGCTTATACAGGTTGGGTTTGACCCACGAACACACGAACCCATATACTTATACGAGTTATATGGGTTGGGTTGGGTAGATGTTTTCAACCCGCCAACCCATATATTATATGAGTTGGGTTGGGTCAATGTATTCTAACCCGCGAACCCGTGACCCGCCAACCCGAACCCAACCCAATTGCCAGACCTAGAAACGAGCAAAACTTCATTTAAAAACGAGTAAGTTAGTAGATGAAAAAACTAAAACAAAGTAAATTTGAATATAAAACTTTTAAAAATCACATATCATTCAATAATCTCTAAATATAGACCATTCATATCGGTGTATCATATACATTGCAAAACACTCACGTGAGCCTTGATCTTTCAAATGTTGCAAATCCTTCAAGAAGAAGGCAATTTTATCTCTTTCTAGGTCTCACATTCTATACAAACAATTATCTTATTACTAAACTATATATTATTGGGAAAGATAACGACATATCGAATTTTTTTGATAATATCAAAATAGTAAATAAAATGTTGTCTAAAATGTTATATGAGTAGGTTACACAACTAACGAATTTTTATGTATTTAAGTTAAAACTTAAAAACATTTTATGATTACCTTATATATTTCATTAGTTATACATTTAATAGCATAACAAATTAACACGTAATAGTAACATTTGAATTAGTTGTTTTTTTTAAAATATGATTTTAGTGATTACAAATATATATAAGGTATGTGTTGATGTGTTGACAGGGGTTTATTTTTCAAAATATGTTGGTTTTGTACCGGTATAGTCAGTAAATATATGAGCTAACTTGATATGTTTAAAAATGTATTATAATTGTATAAATGTGGATGGTCTAAGAATCAAATATTTCTAATATTGAAAGGTATTTGTGAATATTCTCTATTTACTTGATACTATTAATTTTTATCTTGAGAGTTTGAAAACTTTGGATGTGGTGTCCTTCAGCGTAGGGGTATAAAAAGCGTGTGTTGCGTGAAGACATGATTTTTTCATCTCGAAATGCTTGCAGCGTTGTTAGGCATGACCCATTTCATTGCTCGTCTAGATGCCCCATATCACGTGAGTTTTTTTTTTCAATGCACATTCTTTTATCATACATAAAATCATTGATTGTTTTTTGATTTCTTTTAATATATACAAAATTGTCATGTTACATTTTGTTTAAAAAAACATCATGACTTGCTATAACTCGTAAAAACTCTTGATGCTTAACATTACCGTCATGCCACCACTTCCGACATTTAAAACCCAGGGTGTATTTATATTATTTTTATGTTTTGTCTACTTATTATTTCATATATATAGTACTTATCTATGTTATTCATGTGTAGATGTTACTTCTATATATAGAAACTGGGTACTTATCTACTAATTAATTTATTTTGAATTAAAATTTAGTGTCTAGTATTGTAATTCACGTATTGTGGCCTTTTTCTAGTTGCATGCCTTCTTTAGAAACAATTTCTCTACGGCTCTTAGACGAAGACAAGAAGGCTTATACCGAACATCCCCTTAGCTTACAAGAATTCGGTTGGTTGATGTTGTTTATCATGTTCCTGACTGCTTTGTGAATGTTTCATTAAGGCCTTTGGGTATGGAGGGATGCTCACGCGTGAAGAGCTGAGCTGGCAGACATTTCCGCACGTGAACACCGTCCCATTGGCTTGTAGTCGTGGTGTGGAGTGGACAACTCTACGGGTTATCACAACCAATGAGATTTGTTTCTTCCAAACGGTCACAAAAATGGCCGTTGTTCTTGAAGGAAGCTGCCAAAAATCTTCTATGTGCTCGCCGGAAATAGAAATTGCAGCGTGCAAACGAGAAAGAAGAAGAAAAGAGGAGGCTGCAATGTTTGGATGGCTGCAACTTGAATGAAAGTAGGACAGGTTGGGCTTAGATAAATTTAAGGAAGTCTTAGTGGGCTATTTTTTTGTGGGTTGATATTGGTTTTGGTAAAATGTATGTTGAATTTTAAAAATATTATTTTTATTTAAGTTAATGTTTTTTTATATATAAAATATTTATGCAGGTTTAATAATTGTGTTTTTATTTAATATAACGTCAAAATTTTTTTTTTAAAAAAAAAAGGATAAATAATATGGAATGATAACCATTTCAAAGCACTAGTGAACATGTAATGAAGGTGTAGCGCATAGGTGACGTCACTTTTCTAGTTAACATCTTGTGACCATACCACATAGCCTAATAATAAAAAATCATTTGATCACATCATTAATTTTCATTAATAATAAGAACTCTTCGATTTAATGTGTCAATAACAGAACGTCATAGGTTTAAATATTACTAAAATAGAATTGTTAAATAAACAACCGTGTATTCGTGTTTCCCTCCACAAAGTACATTGCTCTAAAAACAAACCACAAAACTCCACATAAAAACCGCAATGCACAATAGCTTGAATCAGACCATTTGAAGATCCATTAAACATCAAGCTGAAACACTAATCTCATATTGCTGATCACCAACAGCAAGATAACGAGACCCCTCCTCAATCACCATCAACCCATCTTCATTAGCTGTTCTAAAATGCTCACACGGATTGATCACAAATTCAACTTCAACCCCTTCTCCCCCTTTCGTTTTCACACTCTCGAATGCCGCCAACTGCTTCCTCGCCTTTCCGTTTCCAATTCCGTCTTGCTTCACAAACAGCAAAACCGCATGTTTCCCTTCCATTTCCCCGTGATTCTGGATTCCGATGGTGGCTGAAAACTTGGACTTTTCACATGATTCGGTTTCGGTGTCGGTGATTGGTGTGTAATGAACGGAATCAGAATTCTGAAGGGTGGAACCGGTGCTTGAAATTTGGGTTAAGGAGAGTTTGTTTTGTGTGACAGATACAAATTCGTATGTGTACTTTGAGTAGCTGAGCCCATAACCAAACAGGAAAACTTTTCGGCCTGTGTAGAATCTATACGTACGCCCTGGATAACCAGAGGATGGTTGTGGTCTCATTCTCATGTCTGTCATTGGTATCTTCACGAACTCTTTTGGGTACCATGTCATTGGTAGCTTCCCTCCTGCAAAAAACAGGGCACACGAATAAAAATGTTTATAGATTAAAACTATCATAAGTTACGATTTTGAATAAATTGCTCGAATCTACCTGGATTATGATCACCAAAGATGATTTCCGCAAGTGCAATACCACCGGATTCACCAGGATAACCGGCCCACAAGATTCCACCAATCTTGGGATCACGTTTAGCAAACGAAATATCCACCGGACCACCACAAATCATCACCAAAATCACCGGTTTTTTAGCCGCTTTAGCCACACTACTAATCAGATCCCGTTGCTTCCCCGGAAGCACCAAATCAACCCGATCAAAATCCTCCCTTTCCTCCCCCTGATCCAACCCCATAA